TTACATAATACATAAGAACATGAAATCCACATACTTTTACATACATATACCACATATACACCAAATACAAATACATTCACATACACACAAAATAGCATCCTACTTAAACCAAATACACATAATTTCACATATATAGATAATAACATCTTATTTATACCAAATACAAAAATTCCACAATCATATACCACATTTACAACAAACATACATACATTCACATACACAAAATAACATCAAATATCACATACATCAAATATCAAATATACATCATATACCACATACATCAAATATCAAATATACACACAATTTTCACATACAAATATCAAATATACACACAATTTTCACATATGGCAATTTTCACATAATTTTCACATACAAATACCAAATTCACAAAAAAATGAAATAATAGAAACTGTAGTGGCGGAAATCAACGGATATGTAGCCGGAAAAACTGTTATTCACCCGATGAAGCTACAAATCGACAGTAAAGATGATTTTTCCTTGCTTGTAAGGTCAAATGTCCTCCAACAAAACCTGGGAGCCATCCAAGATGTCACAAATCTCTTCAACAATATTTGCAAGGGTAACATATAAATTAAATTACCAAATCTTAGAAATTTAATCAACACTTTTTCAGTGTTAACATACAAATTAACAAGGAAATTATCAAAGAAATTATCAAATCAAATTACCTTTCTTCAAGAAATTGAGTTAGAAATCGGTCCCAAATCACACCTTCATCCTTAATATCCTTAATATGACACAATGTGGGGAGAAATCGGGATGGAACAAGCAAATTGAAGATGAACTCGGAAGAAGCTGGAAGGGGCGAAGGGTAGCGAAGGTAAACAGAAAGTAGAATATGGAAGAATGAAGTCTACTGCGTGCGTTTTTTTTATCTGCAAGAGGCTTTATCGGCAACGCCTTTAGCGGCGACAAATAGGGTTTTACCGGCAACACTTATCAATAGCGGCGACAATCTGGAGGGAAGGCTACTGCGTCATTTTTTAGTGAACTATTAGCGGCGACAATTTCAACCTTTAGCGGCGACACATATGTCACCGGTATTTAGGTTAGTTCAGATAAGGGACCCCAACCGTTGGATTGGATATTTGATCGAACGGTTTAGATGTAACAGAAGGGGAAAACGCGGATTCGGGTGATCACCCTTTAGCGGCGACGCTATTACCGGCGACATGGACTTCTAGCGGCGACAATCTCTAGAGTCGCCGCTAAAGGCCTCCGTCGCCGGTAATAACGTCGCCGCTAAAGGGTGATTTTCTTGTAGTGACCGTACTCTATTGACCTTTTTCTAGTAGTGATGGAGAATGCCAGATCTGAAACGAAAATCACATACAAAACTCTACTCGAAGAACACCGCCTGAAATGACTATGAGCTCCGATGAACACCACCTGGAACACACCCGATGAACATCACTTGGAACAATGACGAACTGACGAGATCCACCATCGATGACGATTTGAAGTCAGGGGCGTAGGAAGAGTGTCTTCCTCCTATCCCCTGGAGATCCATCCACAAATACCACCATTAACGTCGTTTGGTTGTAGCATCAACAAAAATCCAGATCTGTTTGTGGTTTGTGGTTTTTGTTTCTTGCAAACATAACCCAAATTTATTGCTTCTTCTTCCATGGGGAAAGGTAGAATATCATATCGGAATCCACACAACCCAAATAGATTACATCCGATTTCAAACCCAAATACATTGCTTCTTCTTCTTTAGGTTCCATCATCCATCAATTTATGTATGTTTATGTTAGCAGTTATTCCTAGAAAACCCATAAATCGATTTTCGTGTGTTTATGTTAATAGTGTGTATGTTCTGTGAGAGTTTAGGGGAGAGAGAGAGAGAGAGAGAGAGAGAGAGAGAGAGTATCGGTAGTGGTGGGTGTGGACCCAATTCCTTCATTTTTAATTTTTAATTAATAAATTATTAAAGAAAATATAAAAAAAATACAAAAAAATGAAATGGAAAGGGCAAAACAGTCTTTTCAAGTCCTCCAGGGACTAAAACCAAAGGAAATTCTTGATTTTGGACCTTCCATGCAAGTTAAAAACGTTTTGGACCCTATCCAAAGTTTTTTGAATACCACAGGGACCAATTTTACAGTTTTGTCTATTGCAAATAAAAGTGTTTATTTATAATGGACAAAATTGCAAAAATGGTCCCCATGGTTTCTTATTTTATGTGGTTATGGTCCAAACGTTTGAAAAGTTGCAGATTTGGTCCTTTTCAACAAGTTTTATTGTGGTTTTGGTCCCTCATCCGTTAAGTTTAACTGGTTGGCTGTTAACTTTTTTAAAATGACAATTTTACCCTTAGGGACCATTTTCGCAGTTTTGACTTTTACCATACCATAAAGACCATTTTTGCATACATTCTTTTTTATTTTATTTAAGTATTATATATTAATAAATATTATTTTTATTATATAATATTATATATTAATAAATATTGTTTTATTGGATTATTAATTTATTATAGTTGATTTTTAAAAAAAAAAATTGTTAGAGTAATTCTTTTTATTGAGTTATTATATATCAATACATATAGTTTTTAATATATAATATTTATATCATAATAAATATATTATTAGATTATTAATTTCTTTTAGTTAATATTTTTAATTCTTTTTATTTTAAATTATTTTTATTGGATTATTTAATTTATTATTTTCTTCATATACTAAATATTGTTTTATTGGATTATTAATTTATTTTAGTTAATTCTTTTTTTAAAAAAAACAATTGTCGAAGTAATTATTTTTTATTGAATTATTATATATCAATAAATATAGTTTTTAATATATAATATTTATATCATAATAAATATTATATTATTGGATTATTATTATCTTTTTGTTAATTTTTGTAATTTCGTTTTTTAAACTATTTTTTATTGTATTATTACTTTTAATTTATTATTTTCTTCATATACTAAATATTATTTTATTGGATTATTAATTTATTTTTAATTATAATAATAGTTCTTGTTAATTTTATTGGTTCCACCACAAAGTCACGGGATACGCAAAACCGTCGTCTCTCATCATCGAAATCGTTAGGATCGCTGCCAAACACTTTCATTTAATCTAGCTTATAATGAGAAACCATAGGGAAAATACCACCACCATCACTCGGTCACCACCACCACTTATAAATGTTATATGGGTTTGTTGCGCATTATGTGTGATATGAAGGATTCCAGTGGATTATGAAGAGGTTGTCGCATGTGGCTACCATAAACGCTAGGTGGAATAGGGTAGGGTATCTATTGATCCTCCAATGAAGGTGTTTGGAGGTGATCCTGCCAATTTTTGACGATGATAAGCGACACTTTTACGTATTTCGACGACTTTGTGGTGAAACTAATAAAATTAAAAACAATTAATATTATACATTAAAAATAAAATAATAATCCAATAAGATAATATTTATTGTATTAAAAAAATAATAAATTAAAAGTAATATTTCAACAAATTAATAATTCAAAAAAACAAATTACAAAAATTAATAATCCAATAATGTATTATTTATTATGATGTAAATATTATATATTAAAAATAATATTTGTTGATATATAATAATATAATAAAAAAAATTGCTCCAACAAAAAAGAAATTATAAAAAGAATCAACTAAAAGAAATTAATAATCCAATAAAATAATGTTTTGTAATATATAATAATCGCATAATATAATATTTATTATGATATAAATATTATATATTAAAAACTATATGTACTGATATATAATAATTCAATAAAAAAAATACTCCGACAAAAAAATTAAAAAATATATAAATAACTAAAATAAATTAATAATACAATAAAACAACATTTAGTATATGAAGAAAATAATAAATTAAAAGTAATAATACAATAAAAAATAATTAAAAGTTACAAAAATTAACTAAAAATTTGATAATCCAATAATATAATATTTATTATGATATAAATATTATATATTAAAAACTATATGTATTGATATATAATAATTCAATAAAAAAGAATTACTCCAACAATTTTTTTTAAAAAATCAACTAAAATAAATTAATAATCCAATAAAAAATATTTATTAATATATAATATTATATATTAAAAATAATATCTATTAATATATAATACTTCATTAAAATAAAAAAGAATGTATGCAAAAATGGTCCTTATAGTATAGTAAAAGTCAAAACTGCGAAAATGGTCTCTGGGGTTAAAATTGTCATTTTAGGGAAGTTAACGGATGAGGGACTAAAACCACAACAAAACTTGTTGAAAATGACCAAATCTGCAACTTTTCAAACGTTTGGACCGTAGCCACATAAAATGAGAAACCACAGGGACCATTTTTGCAGTTTTGTCTTTATAATGAGTTATGTTACCACTCCCAAACATCCACTGATATTAAAAGGATATTAAGAAGAGTATTAGAAATGTCAAGCTGTTTAGTGTTTCTTATTGCTTAAGCTTTCAATTTTCCTTGAAATAACCAAGTCCCATTTTTGTTTCTCAATCTAATGACAGGAAAATATAAAAGGAGGTCTGTAGCTTGTGTTGGAGAAGACAGAAACAGTAACTTGCCAGAGCACTTGATAGCCTCAATCTTAGAGCGGATCCCTGTTCAAGATGCTGTAAAAACAAGCATTATATCAAAAATATGGAGGTACAGACGGACCGAAATGAGGGCACTGGTTTTTGATAACCACTTCTCAAAAAAAATAGCAAAAAACAAAGCTTTTGGTCATAATGGGTTTATAAGGAGAAGCATTATATCTAAAAACTCGAGGTACATATTGACTGAAAAACAGGCGCTGGTTTTTGATAAACAGTTAAACAGATTTGCAAAAAACGAAGCTTTTGGTCATAATGGGTTTATAAGGATCATAAACCAAGTTTTGACCCTTCACAAGGGTCCTATCTTGAAATTTCATCTCATCTCCATATACCAGACATTTCTCTTGATAGCTTCCAAGAAGTCGATCAATGGATGCTACTCTTATCAAGAAACGGAGTCAAGGAGCTCAGTCTTACCACTTCAAATCTATGTTATGAACTTCCTTCTTATGTGTTTCTTTGTCTAGAATTGACAAAGTTGAAACTGAAAAACTGTTTCTTTAAACCACCACTTAATTTTGAAGGATTTCTAAATCTTAAAGATCTTTTTCTCCGACGTATCGACTTTGGGGCTAACTTGTGTGGAGCTAAGATCAACCTACCACAGCTTAAGCAGTTGTCCCTTCATAAGTGCACAAACGTTTACAATTTCAACATTAAGACTACAAAACTGCAAAATTTGACTGTCATTGCTTGTCCTGATGCCATGTTGACCACAATGTTAAGTAACATGACCAAAATTAAATGTTTTTTTGTCGATGCTCAGTTTCTCGAGGTATAATTCTCAAAAGGAGTTTGAACAAAAGATGTATTTTTCATGTAGTTTAGGCAAGTTAAAATCTAACTTTCACCTCATAGATTTTTACTGCAGAAAATATTCCAAAGTGGTTTCCGCATCCGGTTAATAGTTTAAAGCGTATGTGGTTCCGAAAATTTCAACTTGGTGACGTGGATCAACTTAATGGTGCTCTTTGTTTGCTTCAGAAGTCACCAAATCTAAAGACACTGGGGATGCACTTGGAAATGGTAAAGTAACAAGTGCTAAAATTATATAATTATTTTACTTATATAATGCAAGAGTTGGGAGCTAAACTTCGGTTGCATTTTTGTGTTGTTTCAGGAGCCTCGACCTGCTTCAAATTATTTGGAATCCCCAAACTGTTTGGACTGTACATTGGATCGATTGCAAACTGTTGAGATAAGATATTTAGAAGGATCAAAACCAGAACTGCTTTTTATAAAGCTTCTTCTTGCTCATTCCCCTTATCTTCAGAAGTTTACCATTAGACCAAGTGAAGCTTCTGATATTCAAAAAAGACTTGACATTGCGATGGATATTATGCAGTTCCCTCGAGCCTCAACAAAAGCAAAAATGTTCTACTTGAATCCCGATCTGTAATTCTGTAATGAGGAATGTTCAACTATATTGCAATGTAGCTTTATACTTGCATCCTTATTTTTGTTTTGTCTTTATTCCCCTTGGTGATTTTGATAAAAATGCTAAGTATGGATTCTTTTGCTTTATACTTTGGATCACTATATTACCCCTTTAGGCAACATGCTGATTTCAGCATTGCAAATGGCCATGGCCTTTGCAGTTTGCACGTCTACCTTGCATAATGAAGTTTTAAGCGGTATTGATTTGGGGATGATAGGAATAGGATTTAATGTTATGTTTATTTTTTTTATTATATTTTAAAATAGGTACACTTGCATTTGTTGTCTTGTATTGTGTTTCTAGAATTTATTGGCTAAAACAAAAACCTATTTCACTTCTTTATAGTTTATAGAAAAATGATTTATTTTTTTTATAGAGTTGTAACTTTTAAAAATCACATCTAGAGATGACAAAAAGTGACCTAATCCGTCAATTTAACTTGAACCCAATCCAAATTTACCATGTTGTGTTCAGATCTTTAACCTGTTTACGTAATTACATAACTATTCAACCCATCAAACTCTTTTAATCAATTGGGTAGAGTCAAGGATCATCCACGCAAAGAATTGATTCATTGAAAGTTGAAACTACAGAAACTATCAGACGAGATATTAATCCAGAGATATTAATCCCTTAGATAAAGGAATGTTTGTTTGTCATATAAAATATTATGTATTCAATGTATATCCATAAATAGTGAGGGATAGGTCTTATATATATATATATATATATATATATATATATATATATATATATATATATATATATGGTGTTTATCATAATAACAGATCGGGAGATTGAATACCATTAACATGGTATCAGAGCTACCAAATCTCTGATTTCCGATTAAGCGCCGATTCTTCAAACTTTTCTCCTTCAACCTTCTATTCGATACTTCATCTTCTATATTCTAATGGATCCTAAAACCCATCCCGCCATCACAGTCACCAACATCAGAAATTTCATACCCTTTACCCTAGAGATGGAGAGTGGCCAATACACCTCCTGGGCAGAATTGTTCCGTATTCACTGTCGGGCTTTTCAGGTCGGAAACCACATTGACCCTAACTCAAAACCTCCTTCCTCACCCGCTTCCACAGCAACTGAAGCCGATAAAACCAAGGCTGCCTCTGAACTGGAATCCTGGTCTCGTCTTGATGCTATTTGTCTTCAATGGATATATAGCACCATCTCGAATGACCTTCTTCATACTATTCTTAAACCTAACACCACTGCCCTACAAGCCTTTTGATATAATCCATACCGATATTTGGACAGCACCTGTATTGAGCTCTAATGGTTATCGTTATTATTTATTATTCTTAGATGATAAAACTAATTTCTTGTGAACATATCCTCTTGCCAAAAAGTCTCAAGTCTTTCCAACCTTCAAACAATTCTTTTCTTTAATCAAAACTCAATTTCATTACACCATTAAACTGTACAATGAGATAATGGCCGCGAATACGATAATCAACATTTTCATAATTTTTTCTCCGAAAATGGTATTCAATTCCGTTTTTCATGTCCACACACCTCTCCCCAAAACGGCAAAGCCGAACGGAAAATACGTTCCATCAATAACGTTATTCGCACCTTACTAGCTCATTCCTCCGTGCCATTGAATTTTTGGCATCACGCTTTACAACATGCCACCTACCTTCTAAATATTCTTCCTAATAAACTTCTTAATAACCTCACTCCCACTCATCTTCTCTACAACCTCCAACCGACATATTCCCATCTTAGGACCTTTGGATGCTTATGTTATCCCCTAACTCCCTCTACCACCATCCATAAGTTAAATAAACGATCCACACCTTGTATTTTTTTGGGGCACCCAACAAACCATCGGGGGTACAAATGCTTCAACCCACAAACCCGAACCATCACCCTTTCCCGTCACGTTGTATTTGATGAAACTATTTTCCCTTTCTCAAAAATCTCCCTAGCTACACCTCCTACGACTGTAACAAACCACAACTCTTCGGATCCCCATCCCATCATATGGTCTGATCCCAACCCGTCCCCAAACAACTCCAATCCTACTGTCACCAACTCACATCCCCCTCCTCTACAAACTTACTCACGTAGGCCTAGGCCCGCAGCCCCCACCCCGGTACAACCATCTTTATCAACCCAGGACCATTTAGAACCAATCATAATTCCTACCTCCACTCCTTCCCGGTCTGCTCATCCACCTCCTGTTCGTACAGTTCACACACGAAGCATGTCGGGTATTTCTAAGCCCAAACAACATTTCAACCTTCACAACACAATATCCATCTCTCCTTTACCCCGTACCCTTTACAATGCTCTTCAAAACCTGGATTGGAATAAGGCCATGTCAGACGAGTTCCGGGCCCTTATCGACAATAACACGTGGGAGTTAGTCCCGCGAAACAATAACATGAATGTTGTGCGTAGTATGTGGATTTATCGACATAAAACTAAATCTGACGGTTCTTTAGAGCGATACAAAGCTCGTTTGGTATGTGATGGCAGGTCCCAAAAAAAGGCATCGATTGTGGTGAAACTTTCAGTCCAGTGGTGAAACCGGCAACAATACGTACGGTTCTTTCCATAGCTTTATCGCATGCATGGCAAATTAATCAGCTCGACGTAAAGAATGCCTTTTTACATGGACATCTCAATGAAACAGTATACATGCATCAACCACCCGGGTTTCGTGATAGTCGCTATCCTAACCATGTTTGCTTGTTGAAGAAATCGTTATATGGCCTCAAACAAGCGCCACGGGCTTGGTATCAACGCTTTGTTGACTACGTGTCTACATTGGGTTTTAAGCATAGCAAATGTGACCACTCTCTTTTTGTGTACAAACAAGGTACTCAAACGGCTTTTATACTATTTTATGTGGACGACATTTTGCTCGTTACCTCGTCGGATCATCTACGCCACGACTTTATGAAGTTGCTGGCTCAAGAATTTGCAATGAAAGATCTTGGCCCCCTTAGCTATTTTCTTGGGATTTCAGTGACGCGGTACAAGGATTCATTTTTCCTATCACAACAGCGGTATGCATCCGAAATTTTAGAAAAGGCTGGGATGAGCTCGTACCACCCATCTTCCACGCCGGTCGACACCAAGTCCAAATTAAGCTCCACCGATGGCACTTTACTACCTGACGGGGGTACACAGTACCGTCAACTTGCGGGTGCTCTCCAATACTTAACATTTACTCGTCCGGATATTAGTTATGCGGTTCACCAAGTATGTATGTATATGCATACTCCGCGCATGACACACTTCAATGCAGTGAAACGAATTTTGCGTTATATCCAAGGAACCATACATCACGGCTTGCATCTCTCCAAGTCGCCCCTCACATCACTTCTAGCTTATACGGGTGCCGATTGGGCAGGGTGTCCGGATACACGGCGGTCAACTTCTGGATATTGCGTCTACTTGGGAGACAATCTCATTTCATGGTCATCCAAACGACAACCGACTATATCTCGTTCAAGCGCAGAAGCAGAATATCGTGGAGTCGCCAATGTAGTTTCAGAAACTTGTTGGATCCGAAATCTTCTATTGGAACTCCATCTTCCACCGGCCAAAGCTACGTTAGTGTACTGTGACAATGTAAGCGCCGTCCACTTGTCGTGCAACCCGGTTCAACATCATAGAACAAAACATATTGAAATTGATATTCATTTTGTTCGAGAGAAAGTCGCCCGTGGTCAAGTTCGTGTATTTCATATTCCCTCACGTTACCAGGTAGCTGATATCTTCACTAAAGGGTTACCTCTCGTACTTTTCGACGACTTCAAGAACAGTCTCAACGTCCGCCACCCTCCCGATTCGACTGCAGGGGTATATCAGACGAGATATTAATCCAGAGATATTAATCCCTTAAATAAAGGAATGTTTGTTTGTCATATAAAATATTATTTATTCAATGTATATCCATAAATAGTGAGGGCCAGGTCTTGTATATATATATATATATATATATATATATATATATATATATATATATATATATATATATATATATATATATATATATGGTGTTTATCATAATAACAGATCGGGAGATTGAATACCATTAACAGAAACCATCCACTTTAAATAAAAATAATAATAATAACTGAAGCTATGACTTTTATAAAGTACATGGACCTTTATGTAAATTTGTCTATAATTAATTTAGGGAGTGGTTTAATTTAGGAATCGATAAGCGGTAAATTATAGCTCCAAAACCCTTCTCGTTACATATAAAACGTGGATGATCCCTCGAATCCTCGTTTCAGTTTCATCTCAGAATTTTGAGATTTCAACACGAAGATAAACTACTTGATCGATCGCTCTGAGTGAAGGGTATCTTCAAGTCATGAGTAAGTTTCTACTTCATGATCTATTTATTTGATATAGAGAAATTAAATATCCTCCTACAAGTTCTTCCTACTTATCCTACAAGCATGACAAGAAGATGAAAATATTATTAAGGAAAATTAAATCCGGCACATGTCATCTTTGATATACTTTGTTTGAATTCTGTTGTTTATGATCTCTTTTGTTCATTCCAGTTGAATACGATAAACTCTGTTTTTAGAATTTCTTTGTCAATTTTCACATATCCGTTTAAAAACATAAATCAGTAAACCGATTTTCTGATTTTCTGAAGATGTGTGTTGGAAAGATAACTGGATAGTTGCTAATTTTGCAAGGCAGCAAGTATGAAGGGGTTAAGCTAGGGTTTTCCATTTATTATATATATGGTCATGTAATTGCGAAAATTAGCAATGGACCTTACTCCCCATACCAATGTGGGCAATATAGTTCATTATTCACCCCTAATAGCAAAGTACTTATATTTCCATTTATTTACCAACAAAGACCTATATGTATAACCTGAAACTGGGAAAATGCTTACAAGAGTATAAGTTTCATGTTGGATAATGTTATCATTGTTAGTTTATATACGTTTTTGCTGTTTTGTATAGTGTAGGGACCCCTTTTGTAATATATATATATATATATATATATATATATATATATATATATATATATATATATATATATATATATATATATAAAGGCTCCTAATCAAGGAGGCTTTTACTACAATTAACAATCATCAATGAAAATATGCAAGTGCATTGTTACTATGGGTAAGGAATTATAAATACATTACTGTTATATGTATAGAAATATAAGTATATTGCTGTTGTGAACAAAAACAGAGTACATTATACAAATTTCAGGTTATGCATTGTTATTGTATGTAATACACTGTATATGTTTCTATTATTGGTAAATGTAAGTAAAACTTAGTCCGTGTCTCTTATTCATTCCAATTTCTTCGAAATAACTTAGTCATGTGACCTGTGAGTCACGTTTCCTTAAAAATGCTTACGACCATTAAATCATAAGTATTGTGAATGAGACATTTTGTTTCTCATGACCTATGCTAGTATGCTACCACACCAAAAAGCTTCATTGATAATGAAAGGATATTAAGAAGAGTATTTGAAAGGTCAAATTGCTCCATGATTCATATCAGATTTCTTTTTATATTGATATAACTTGGTCTCTTTTGTGAATCTAATAACAGATAGAAATAAAAGGAGGGTTGTCAGTTGTGGTGAGGAAGATAAAATCAGTAACTTGCCAGAACACTTGATAGACTCGATCTTAGAGCCGCTCCCGATTGAAGATGCTGTAAGGACAAGCATCATATAAAAAAAGTGGAGGCACAAATGGACCACAATGAGGGCACTGGTTTTTGATAAACATTTCTCCAATAAATTTGCAAAAAATGAAGCTTTTGGTCATAATAGGTTTATAAGTATCATAAACCAAGTCTTGTTCCTTCACAATGGTCCTATCTTGAAATTTCATCTCCATATACCATACATATTTGTTGATAGCTTCCAAGCAATTGGTCAACGGATGTAATTCTTATCAAGAAATGGTGTCAAGGAACTCATCCTAACTAATTCAAGTCAATGCTATAAACTGCCTTCTTATGTGTTTTCTTGTCTGGATTTGACAAAGTTGGAACTGGAAAACTGTCTCTATAAGCCGCCACTTGAGTTTAATGGATTTCTCAATCTTGAAGAACTCCGTCTGGAGGAGGTTGATTTTGGGACTAGCTTGTGTGGAAATAAGATCAACCTACCACAGCTTAAGAAGTTGTCCCTTTTTACGTGCAAAAATGTTTACAATTTCAACATTAAGGCTAGAAAACTGCGGCAGTTGACTGTCATTGCTTGTCCTGATGCCTTGTTGCTCGGGTTAATGGACAGTCCGTGTCTTACTTCGGTTTTCATTTCTTCACAGAATTACACACAGGATTTTGTAGGAGTTGAAAAAATGAATTTGGCCACAATGTTGAGTAACTTGCCCAGACTTGAATACTTTTTTACCGACAGCAATTTTATGATGGTAAACTTTTTTATGCTTAACCTTTGCTCTTCCCCAATTGTAGTTTGCACAAAGGGGTCCTATATTTCACGTCTTATGTAAATAATACTAATGTTTACGGGGTAAGTTAGATTGTTAAAATCTAACTTTCATCTCACAGTCTTTGGTTGCAGAAAAAATTCCTAAATTGCTTCCACGTGCGATTAGTAGTTTAAAGTATTTGTGGTTGCTCCGTTTTCAACTTGGTGATTTGGAACAACTTCATGCTGCTCTTTGTTTGCTTCGAAACTCGCTTCGAAACTCACCGAATCTGGCAAAACTGACTGTTACGCACTCTATGGTAAAGTGAAGAGTGTTAAAATTATATATATAAAACAAGAGTTGGATGCTAAACTGTGGTTGCATCTTTATGTTTTCTTTTCAGGAGCCTCGAGTTGACGTGGGACTTGCTTTAAATCATTTGGAATCCCCAAACTGCTTGGATTGTACATTGGATCAGTTGCAAACTGTTGAGATGACACGTTTAGAAGGATCAAAAGCGGAACTGCTTTTTATAAAGCTTCTTCTTGCTCATTCGCCTTCTCTCGACAAATTGACAATTACACCAAGTCAGAAAACTGATGCTCAAAAAAGATTTGATATTGCAAAAGATGTTATGTGGTTCCCTCGTGCCTCACCGAAAGCAAAAATATTATACTTGAACCTGGAGACATAATTTTGTAAGGATGTTCAACCACATTGCAATTTAGCTCTATAATTCCGTCATTATAAGTATATTTAGATTATCTTTTATTTCTTTTTATTCCTCTTTTTATTCCTCTTGTCTTACATGCATGCCCCCAATGGTTTAAAAATTTTTACATACAAATATGCATTTCCCCCCCCCTAAAATTACTTTTTTTACATAGTATGCCTCCAACGTTTTAAAATTCTGGATTCGCCCTTGATCCTTAACCTCCATAACCTTATCTATCACCGAGATTGAAAAGATAAAAACCTTTTTTCTATTACATTACTTGATTATATTGTTAAATTTTCTAGCCAAATCATTTAAGGTCATTCACATTGTACAAAAAAAAATTACCAGTTACCTGTCAAGAATCATATGAGCTATGCGTAGAACCTTGTTATAATATAATTTAATATGTATGAAAAAAAATGATAATGCACAGGGACCATGATGTAATTTGTCTATATTTAATTTAGGCACCGGTTTAATTTAGGGATTGATATGCGGTCATGTAAAACTTGCACGATGGATACGAGTCCTAGTTTCAATTTCATCTAAGAATTTTGACATTTTAACACAGAGGGATAATCTACTTGGTTGCCCTGAGTGAGGGGTATCTTCAACTCATGGGTAATTTTCTACTTCATAAACCTCCATTTATTAGATACATTTTGTTTGAATTCTGTTGTTTATGATCTCTTTTTTTCATTCCAGTTTTATGTCTTCACTCCTTCGAAAGCACCAACATAAAACTCCTGTCCTCAGATATCATACTTTTTGTAAGAAAAACTGATAATAGTAAAATGTAATATAAGATGCCATAGAACAATCATAAAACTGCGGAAATCAATATGGACCTTACTATCCAAATACTTCATTATTCACCCTAATGATTTTATTTACCAAGAAAGATCAATATGTAACCTGAAATTTGAAAAAAATGCTTACAATATTACAAGTTTCATGTTACATAATGTTATCACCAATAAAAATATGCAAGTGCATTGTACATGGGTGAGGAAATGTAAATACATTGTCATTGTTGTTATATGTATAGAAATATAAGTACATTGATGTTATGAACAAAAGCAGAGTACGTTACACAAATTTCAGGTTATGTATTGTTATTGTATGTAAAAGAATGTATTATGTTTCTATTATGCGTAAGTGTAACTAAAACATAGCCCATGTCTCTCATTCCTTCCAATTTCTTTGAAATAACTTAGTCAAGTTTTTTTTTTTTTAACTAATGACAGAAATATAAAAGTATGTATGTAACTTGTGTTGGAGAAGATAGAATCAGTAACTTGCCAGAGCACTTGATAGTCTCAATCTTAGAGCGGGTCCCATATGAAGACGTCGTATGGACAAGCATTATATTAAAAAAGTGGAGGTACAGATGGGCCAACATGAAGGAGCTGATTTTTGATGAGCAGATCTCCAAAAGTTTGCACAAAAAGGAGTTTTTGGTCATAAGGAGTTTATGAGTGTCATAAACCAAGTCTTGACTCTTCACAAAGGTGCAATCTTGAAATTTCATCTCTATATACCAAACATGTTTCTTAATAGCTTCAAGGAAGGCGATCAGTGGATGCAATTATTATCAAGAAAAGGTGTCACAGAACTCATGCTTACTAATTCAAATGGACGTTATAAAATTCCTTCTCATGTATTTTCTTGTCAAGAATTAAGAAATTTGAAACTCGACAGATGTTTCTTCAATCCACCACTTGAGTTTGAAGGATTTCTTTCTCAGTCTTGAAGTACTTATTCTAAAGTATGCTGTTTTTGAAAAAAACTTATTTGGAACTCAGATCAGCTTACCATAGCTAAAGAAGTTTTCCTTTTATGCATGTACAAATCTTCATAATTTCAACATCCAAGCTGCAAAACTCCAGATTTTGAGTTTCATCTTCTGTGGTGATGCTTTGTGGCTCCTTCGGTTGTTAAACACTCCATGCCTCCTTTACTTGCCTTACTATCCTTACTGTGGTTGGTATATCTTTCCAAACTCTCACAACAGATTTCTAACGAGTCAAAGGAATTAATTTTGGGCACTGTGTTAAGTAACTTGCCCAAACATTACCAAAAATACAGACATTAGCAGCGACATGGCTCTTTAGCGGCGACGTATCAATTTATCGCCGCTAAAGGTACATGTCGCCACTATTGGTGTCGTCGTTAAAGGGCCATGACACGGATCTGCGTTTTCACGTTCCGGTAAGGTAGAGCCGTTCGATCGTGTTTCTAATCCAACGGTTGGGGTACTCGTGGAACGCACAAAACCAACACCGGCGATACAAGTCGCCGCTAAAGACCTAACCCTGTCGCCGCTAAATGTCGAATAAATGATGCGACAATAATTCCCTCCGAAGTGTCACCGCTATTGATAAAACTCGCCGCTAAAGCCCCTTGTGTCGCCGATAAAGGTGTCGCCGCTAAAGGTCGACGCAATTAACCCAAAAAAATAGACTCCCTTTTCCTTTTCTGTTTTTGTTCGCTTCCATCTGCTGCTGCGTTTTTTTCCATCTTCTTCGTCGATTCGCAAGCATCACCATCGGGCAAAGTAGAGATTAAGGAATTCCGCCCACATAGAAGAAGATACGTGCGGGCAAAGTAGAGATAGACCGGTGAGGATGAATTTTCGGCGACTAAGACTAATCTCCGGCAATAGTAGGTATTTCCAGCTTAGTTTCCTTTCCCTTTTCTCTTGTAACATCAATTTTTTGCTTATTTTAGTGATTAGTTGCAAAAAATTGTCAATTTCAGTTTTTGATTGAGTTTCCACTACCGCCACCACTGCACCATTTTTTTGATTTCTGCCACCACAGGTTCTATTTACTTCTATTTATTGTGAAATTCGAGTTTAATTGCAAAATATGTGTAGTTGTATCAATTATGTGAAATTTGGCATATGTGTGTATATTTGATATACTTATGTGAATCTATGTAAGTTTGGTGTATATATATTAATGTATGTGTGTTTAGTGTATATGTGGTATATGAATGTGATATTTGTGTATTTGGTATAAGTAGGATGTTATTATTATTATATTATTATTATTATTATTATTATTATATATATATATATATATATATATATATATATATATATATATATATATATATATCTGAAAGTATGTGTATTTGGTATAAGTAGGATGTTATTATCTATATATGTGAAAGTATGTGTATTTGGTATAAGTAGGATCTTATTGTGTGTGTATGTGAATGTATGTGTATTTGGTGTATATATGGTATATGTATGTGAAAGTATGTGTATTTGGTATCAGTAGGATGTTAATTATGACTGATTTTTACTTGGTTAACTTTTTTTTTTTGTAAACAAAGTTTGATTTGGATCGGATGTACCAGGATCCAGATGCTCCTATGTTGTCAGAGAGTTTTGAAGCAGCTTTGTTAAAAGGTTATCGAGAACGTAAAGCTGATGCAAAAGAATTTTTTTTGGAAGTCGGAGGGTATAAGGATATCCCGAGAGCATTAGCCACCACCCCTCCAGATGATATGGATGTTGATAATTAGAAGAAAACAATTGAGTATTTCCAAATGGACGAACACAAAATTGCTTCAGAAAGGAACAAAAAAGTGTGTCAAATGCAAACGACTGTGAATCGTGGGGGGTTGTATCACAAGGTAACGTACGATACATGTAATTATTTATTTAAAATATAATCTAATTTTTAATGTTAAACAGAACCTTAAGAGAGTGGAAACGTATCACAAGGCTCATACCGATAGCGATGGGGTATTTATTACTGTCGAGGCGGAACAACAATATGTAAGTATTTAATTATAATTTTATCATATAATTAAGTGTTTATTTATACATAATTATTAATCACTTTTGGGAAATAAAAAATCGGTTAGTGGAAGAGCTCTTAGAACAAACGCAAGGGCCAGAAGGTGAAAGAGAGTTAACACTCGCTCAAGAAAGAGCTGCTTTCGAGAAAGTGTTAGGAGAACGACGTGGCCATATCAGAGGCATCGACCGGAAACCTTCTGTTATCCTGCCGATTTCACAGCCATTGTAACCACCACCACAGCCATCACACATAAAACAAGATTATTTAATTTCAATAAATGCATGTTGATTTGGTAATTTTCTTTTGTGGTGATTATTTTTATAAAAGCTTTGGTAATTGGTTTTTTGTCCGAAGTCCAACAAATAGCAATGTACTTTGCTTTTTTGTCGTAGTTTAAAAATAGCGATGTACTTTGGCATCAATAAATGCATGTTGATTTGGTAATTGTGCTTTTGTCCCAGGTGCAAGATATAACAATGTATTTTTGGTATTTCTTGTATTTTAAGTGCAAGAAATAGCAATGTACTTTGGTATTTCTTGTATTTAAGGTTCTTTAGCACAAATAGAGTAAAATTATTTCATTTCAAGTGTTTATATTTTATGTGCAACAAATAGAAATGTAGTTTGGTTTTTTGTCTCTAGTTTAAAAATAGCAATGTACTTTGGCATCATAAAATGCATGTACTTTGGTAGTTTTTGTTTATGTTTGATAATTTAACTTATAAGTTAATATATGTTGTTATTTATTATGTAGTTGGAAAATCTTCGGGCAATGCTCAACGAATCGACATGTAGGGAGGACCTTTATGCGTTTTTTCAATCGGGGAACAATCAATAAAACACCCCTAAAATACAGTCCAAAAATTTCGTTTTAAATCATTATAAAACCATAGTAATCCAATCTTCTCATAAAAACATAAGTGGTAGTGATCCTAATCCAATTCTGGTCAAAAAACCCAAAAAATTGCAATATGGTCATACAACTAGTCGAGCCCAACTATGGACTCGTCGATTTCAAGGCAAAATTCATCATGCTCGTCGAGCCCAAGCATGTACTCGTCGAGTAGGTGCGGTCAAAACAGTTTTTCAGCTTTGGAAAAATAAGCCATGCATCAAATATAACAGAAAATAATCGTTCTCTCTGTCCATCTGTTGTTTCCCGATTTCCGATTTACAACAACTGACTAATTGAACAAATCAAATCAGTCCAGGCATGGCCAAGCGCTTCGGGTGTCATCACTAAATCATCGAGGGGCCCACAGATATCGGTTTTATCCCTCTAAGGGAAAAAAGGAATGGATAAACTTCGACTCAAATGCTTGCTTGTACTTACTCATCAAATCACACACATCAATATGTTTTATAACACCAAGTTACTAGTGTGTTTACATATGTCAATGTGCAACCGACTTGTAAATTACAACTCACATGTCTTGGTTTCAAGAATATAAGATATTATCGTCTCAAAATCACTCGTGATAAAATCCATGAAGTGATTAGATGAGCGTGGGTTTAATCCAATACTCGAATCTTATTCCAGGAGTACTCATGAACGCTGCAGCAAACTTGTGCTATGTCTAAAACACCTATACAATCTACAGTCAGATTCATGATAGTCTTGCCTCAATACCTACTTCCAAAGTATGATCGACTGTGGATAGTTTGAATAACCTAGTTATTCGAGAAGTCAAAACATGCAAAGTGAAACACAAGAATAATCAAATCCAATATGGTTTCAGATCTTATGAATATAAATAAAACACTTATTATTTAATCACCATATTGATTACACATTATTCATTGTATAATCTTTTGTTTAATCAACTTGATACTTGAATTAAAACAATAGTTATCCCATGCTCCCATCATGACCACCATATGAAGATCGCCCACATAATTTTGATTCGCTCCCACGAGTGGTTCTTTTGCGCTTTTGTAAGGATAGGTCAATTACCTTTTCAGGACGATTCATGACTCCCTCTATAGAAACAACCTTCCCCCAAACCACTTTCCTTTTTGGCCTTAGAGCAGCCTTGATGGATGATGGTGGGAGTTTACTATTGTCTGGTTCCGTTTTCGCAACATTTTTCGAAATGGGAAGGAGGAAGGGGAAAACATGTATCTTGACCAGTAATATTGACTGTGGAATCCATACTTGATTATGATTAAGAAGGGGAATTAGGTATAGCAATTTCCTTGGTAACCAAAGCAGAGCCCGCCAAGCATTTGCAATGCAGTCATTCCAACAAATTAACTTCGTGACCTGCAAGGTTTTCAACAGGTTTCTTTCCCAGTTTGTTCCAATTAACTTCGTGCCAAGCATTATTTCATCGGCATCAACCCAATTTACATAATTCTTTGATAAAGGGTTGTAGTACTTTGTTCTTCGGGAATAAGATCAGGAGAACGATCTGCGACGCTATCAGAAGTAGCACCATACGCCATGGGTCCAGCAAAAGCAGTTGAAGAAACAGAAAAGAACTCCTCTTTCCAACACTTTACAAAAGGAGGAAGGACATCACAAGTTTCTACTAAGCCATGACGAAGTTAGAAAGATATATAATCTCTATTTGACATCGAAACAAAAAATGGAGGAAAAGAGTAAGTGAAGGCACAACTTAAAGTACAGAACATAGCATCGCAAAACAAATGATTTTTTGAAAACCATTTGGGGTAATTTAGGCGATATGAAGATGATAATAATCAAGGACCACCTCCAGCAAATCAAACATGGTCGGACGTAAGCCAGACTTAAAAAATACTCGATATACACCAACGAAGCCTTCCGGAACATCAACAATGGTGGTCCCTGGTTCAGGAAGACAAGGGCGATGTAACACCCCGTTTATTAAATAAATAAATAAACAAATTAATGAATGTATAGTAGCCCTAAAATTAATAATTATATAGCAAGGTGTTGGTCTCGAGGAGTTAACTATCATAATTTTAGAAGACAGGGATTAAAGTATAAAATCCGGACTTAATTTGTAAGCAATATTGAAGACAGGGCTACTTGGTAACAATTAGGACTCAATATGAAAGGAATTATGGAAGCAAGGGATAAAATGTAAATTCTGGATTTATATTAAAAATATTTATGGAATCAGGGGTTAAAAAAGGTAAATCCTAGATTAGTTTTGCAAAGATTCTCAAGGTGGAGGGTTGTTAGGTAAATATGGTACCTAAATTGTAATGGATTTGATGCTGAGGGTTTAAATGGTAAATATTGGCCTTATTTCGAACGAAAATGTCATGAGGAGGGATTGTTTATGTCGATATGGCATGATGTTTAGTAGCACCAGGTATATAACCTTACTTCACCCGTTACCATGCTAAACCTAAACCTAATTCTTATTCACAGCCGCCGGGTATCCTCCAGCCGTCACCCTCTCCATCTTCACTTCCGGTAGCCGCCACCTCACTTCTACTCGTGTTTTCGATCCTACCAGGTCGCCATCTGCTGCCGGCGACACCGTGAGCGACAAGGACCAACGAGACCAGGTTTCGAGCTGTAAATGGCGAAGTGTGGGCTGCAAGCGATCGGGATATCGCCGGACGTCTTGTATAGACGAGAAAAGACCGTCGAGATCGATGTTGTGCTCGTGGGAATATCGGTCGAAATGGCTGCTATTGGGTCTCGTCACTACTGTCGCCGCCACGCGACTGTTTCACCGGGAGTTGCTGCCAAAAGTCGTGGACACCGCATGCCACCGGGGAGGGACGACTGTGTTCGAGTTTTGCAAACGGGTGTGTGTGTTTTCTGTTTTAATACGATGTGTGTGTCAATGGGCGTATATGAGTTGTTTTTAGCATTTGTGATGTTTTATTTGTGATTTTTGGGCGGAAAACCTAGGGGTGGCAATTTATGACACGACACGACAAAAATACACGACACGAAATGAAATTGGGACGAAACTAAAATTTGAATTCGTGTTCGTGTTAGTTGTAAAAAACACGATGTCGTGTCGTGTCGTGTTCGTGTTCAAAATTCGACAAGAAATTGACACGATTTAGCAGTTCTTTATCGTGTTTTTCGTGTTTGTCGTGTTTATCGTGTTATATTTGATAAAGTATTCATTAAATAAACTAGTTTTTAGTATATGTTTTATTTGTCGTGTCGTGTCGTGTTTTTCTTTTTTAATTCGTTCGTTTTCGTGGTAGTTAAAAAAACACGACATCGTGTCGTGTTACAAAAAACCTTGTCGTGTCGTGTCGTGTCAGACAGAAACACGAAACGATAGCATGATTTGCCACCCCTAGGAAAACCCACCGCCACCACCGTGAGGTGGTGGCTGCCACCCTCTACCACCACTGGCCACCACTAGAGTGGTTGTGTGTGTGTTTATGTTAGTTAGTATGTGTATTTAGTTTTGGATTAAAGCATTGTAATTGTAATTAGCAAAAAGAATAATGAGAAGAACCAAACCACCACCGTGAGGTGGTGGCCGCCGCCGTGAGCCGCCATTGACCACCACTACCCGAGGTGGTAGTGGGTGGTGCCCCACTAGCAAACCCTAATTGACCTGATGAAACCCTAATGGGCTTAAAGATTAGTTTTGGGCCTATTGGGCCATGTTTGGGGTGGGAAACCCAAATTAGGGTTTAGAAAACCCTAATTTTAGATACGTGGGCCTTGGACTTATTAGGACCCACTTTTGGGCCATTGGGATTGGATTGTACATTAAGCCCAACTACTCCATATCATTTATTTTGTAGAGTTATGGACTTAATGGATTAAGTCCTTAATGCGTTAAGTGAGAAACATTTAACCGTAATTGTCATTTTATGTGAAACCCTAATTTCACTTGGGCTTTGTGTTGGGCCAATAATGGGTCATCCAAGAACAATCAAATGGACTAGAATAATTTAATGGGCTGTAGGGTAAGGCCCATGTGAGGGTTTGGGCCCAATTTGGAAAATTGGGCCATAGAAAGGCCATAGTTTGGGCCTTGATGATTATGAGATGTTGGACCATTAGAATGTCAATTGTTGGACAAAGAATAAATGATTGGGCCTTAAGGCAATACTATGTAGAGGTTGGGCCTAATTTGGAAAATTGGGCCATAGTTGGGCCCTAGTTCATTATTAGACTTTTGGGCCTTGGATTGGGCCTTGGGCTTGAGTCAAGCTAAGATAGGGGTAAAGTAGTCTTTTACCCCAAGTATGGACTTATGGATATGCGTTGGAACCCAATTATTAATTGGGTGTTATTTTGATATTGACAGATCAAGAATCTGTCATCCAGCAACTATGGTTTCATCAGCGGGACCTCAGCAGTGTGAGGTGAGTTTTCCTCTAGTAGGAAGGGGTCTACGGCCACAATGTCGGCCCGTTTAGATAATAGTAGTTCCGGATTTTGATCCGATGCCGGGGTTAGCCCGATGCAGTTTATATGTTTCCGGACTGCGGTTCGATGTCGGGGCGGACCCGAGAAGCAGTTATATTTTGTGATTCATGCATGTTATATGTTATGTGTATTGTGTTCCGGGGCAAACCCGATGTATGTTAGTTTATATGTTATGTGCTATGTGTTCCGAGGTAAGCCCGATGTATGTTAGTTTATATGTTATGTGTTATGTGTGTCGGGGTAAGCCCGATGTATGCTAGTTTGTATGTTATATGTCATATGTTCCGGGCTTCGGTCCGATGTCGGGGCAAGCCCGATGCAGGATATATGATTATATTATGTGTTTATGATGTATGTTATGTTGTGTATGTACCGGGGTAAGCCCGATGTCGGGGTGAGCCCGATGCCCGATGCGGTCGGATGCCGGGGTGAGCCCGATGCCGGACAGGAGTCCGATGCCGGGTAAGCCGATGTCGGGTTCGTCCCGATGCAGCTGGGTGGTGTCCCATAGTTGTTTTATGTGTGATATGTTATGTGTATGGTATGTGGTAGTCTGGGGGAGCTCACTAAGCTTCGTGCTTATAGTTTCAGTTTTGGATTCAGGTGCTTCAGTTTTCAAAAGAAAAGCTCGGGAAGATTGCAGTGCACACACCATTTGTTCAGCCTGGGATGTTTATACTCTGATATATTTGACAGATGTTATGATATTCTTGAGATACACGATTTATGATTTTATATGTTGAAGGATAATTATGGTTTTATTAATGATTTAAAACGAAATTTTTGGACTGTATTTTTGGGATGTTACAGGCGAAACTCAGGATCAATGTGATACTTCTTGACAATGTCAATAAGAGTTTTCTGGGAAAGCCTTGATTTTATGGTGTGAATATTCAACACTTCTTTGTTAGCCATATTGAACCGTGACAAAGAAGAGAGAGAGTAAAGCAAGAAATAGAAAGTTGTAGAGAATAATGAAAATAACCAGGAAGAATAAGTTGCTTCTAAGAAGATCAAGCAGAAACCATTCACAAGAGCAGGTGAAAGGGTCGTTAAAAATATGTAATTATAAAACCTACGAGCCGTCAAACATCACGTCAACGTTTAATCCCTTAATGGTTACTCTAAAATAAAGTTTGAATTGATACTCTACTCTAAAAGTAATAATCCAAACCGGGGGGGGGGGGGGGGAATAGGATATAGCCTATCTCGGCCTACATATATCCCCCTAACTTATCGAACCATTCACATGTCGGACCATGTATATACTGGACCATTGATAAGCCGAACCAGCCATATGACAGGCCATGCATATGTCGAACCAGCCATATGCCGAACCATGTGAAATAACGAACAAAGTACTAGAACACGTCACAACAGTGTAACAGTATATAGGAACTCACAGAAAATAGCTTGTATAAGGATTTTTGATTGATGGGTCCTTAAACTAACGAACTAAAGCTTTAACAACAGCTAACAAGTACATTCAACTTTACCTTCGGGGGTATGGCCATTAATGCGATATGATAGCAAACCTGCTCGGTGTAGGAAGAGGGTATGACCCCTCAATATCAGCTATAAATACAGGACGAAGAACACTCCCAGGTACACACATTTCTATTGGGTTACTCCTCATTCGATCTTACCTATATTACTTTCATTCCCTCATTGTTACATAAATCACCTTTATCATAAAGTAATCCCTCTTGCTAACTTAATCATCGGAGCATTGTCCCAGGATCACATCCTGGTCAATCGGCCTACCATCTTTTGTTTGTTGTCTCTAGGTTGTCCATTTTGATAAGGGAACAACAATCCTTGTAACATATGGAAGGTGAACTCGAAGGCGCATCACTATTGAAAATTAATATTTCCATTAAATAAATAATTTCCAATTAATTATGAGTTTATGAATATTTATTAAAATCAATTTCTAATAAATAATCAATTGCATCATGTTGTTATTAGTGTGAACA